ATAATAATAATAATAATAATAATAATAACAATAATAATAATAATAAATTTTATTGGGCTCATTAAAATTCTTCACTTAAACTTTACATGATTATCATTTACAGTACCAAACTATTTAAAATAACAATTGTATCAAAATCCTTAAAAAAGGAAGCAAAATGTAGTTTGCAGTAATGAATAAAATTGACAAAATCTGACAATTGGAATGACTTGTTTAAAATAATAACAATAATAATAATAGTAATAATAATAATAATAATAATAATAATTCAATGAATAATACATTCATATTTTACTCATATAATAATGATAATAATTACATTTCTATAGCACTAAATTATAAAAATATTCTAAAGCACTTTACAAAATATTACGTCTAAACAAAAATAAAATTGCAGTTACATACAATGCCAACATACAACAAATGCAGACACAACAAGCAAACTAGCAGGTAATCATAAGACCTTAAGATGTTAACTTTACTAGCTTAATTCCACAAATAATCAACAAAAACTAATTTTGTGTTCTCAACAGCTGAATTTACTGTACAAGTTAAAGTTTTCATATATAACAGTGAGAACCCAGACAACATAATAGACACAAAAGTGAAACATGTAGATAATAATGCTTTCTGTTTGACTTGGAGATTGATCAGGACTGAAATACAACCTTTTGTTATGAAGACGTTTTCCATAAACACAGTTGCATGTGACATGAAATGATGATGATATTCATGTTGCATTACAGTGACATGGTTCTGTAATCTTAGCATTGACACACTTTTCTGGTGTACAATGTGTAAATGCTACTAAGCTCATTAATTCATAATTTCCTCTATAAGACGTGCCTGCAGCGAATCATGATGGCAGTTGTATTCATTATCTTAGACTGGATAAAGTGGAACCCTGCTAATACGGTCACCAACGTCAATGAAAATTTGGACGTATGAATGGGGTTGAGCCAAATTCATGACTGGTCTAAATTGTGTGACATCATACAAACACTGCACTGCCAAACAACTGTTCTTTAATAAGCATCCAGAATGCAGATATATAACTTTGAAAAATTGAAAAATCAATCATTACATGCAACATTACCCACTGTAACAATGAAAAGACGAGCATAACTGGTTTGAGTGGCCTATAAACAGGCTGAAATTACACACTGGTTGGGATTTCAGAATGTGGCCATTGGCCATATTAATTGGGTTGACACACTAACATGGTTTCCTTATAAGAAAATGTATGGGCATTTTGCCAGGACAAGAAAGACTGGTTGAAATAAAGAGGTGACCGTAAGGTGGGCTTCCACTGTATTTGTTTTGATGAATACAACCACCGTGACACCCTGTGGGCATGACTCATCTAGAGGGAATTGGCCATTGTCCTCCAAACCACAGATGGAAAGGAGAATTCAACATCTATCACTCTTATAATCAATAATTTACTCATTGACACTAAGTACACAACATCTACCATTTATTCATAGAAATGCACCTTCTTATGCAAAACAGGAACAAATAAAATCATTGTAACAAGCAACATTACACAATACCTTTGCGGCTGCACATCTAACAGACATACTTCTGTCTGTTAGAGCTCCACGGACAGCTTTATAGATATCCCTGTGTAATACTGCTCCATTACTTCCAAGGCCACGCAAAACCCGTTCCAGACTCAGCATGATTTCACAGCGTCCTTGAGACTACATGTAGACAAACAAATAAGCCATGTACACTCTTTTTTAATTAGAAGCTATTAGATATGAAAGCTGAAGCTGTGATTGAACAAAACATCAAGACTGCACTAAGAACTACCAAGGCTGAGATTGTTATAACTAGATTTTCCTTAAACCTCCTACTGTAACATCATTTTGAAATATTGAAGTATTTCCACTGCGATAGCCTGTATACATTTTTTCCCTAAGAAAGCAAATATCTAAAAAACTTAAAACACAAAAATTGTTTAACCTCAAGTAACATGTTAAGAACATTTTCAGACCCAAACCAAGAAAAAAAACTTACAACATTCAGTATCAGTTGAGCCTAGTATCAAAATATAAGCCATTCTTGTTATAATAAATATTTAGTAGGTAGATAAATGGCTCCAGAAGATTATTTGTGGATACTGCAGTTTTAACATTAAGGCTATGATGGAATGGTAAGCAACTACAATGGGCGACAAAAGTAGTTGATACACTTTTAGAATGTGACACTTTTCAATATTCAACCTCTTATTCTATTATATTTGTATCTAGCATTCATTCTATGATACCCCCAGCCCCCTGATTCAATATTGTATAGGTGCTGTGGTCTGTGCAGTTTAAGAAATAGAAAAACCAACATTGTTTGGGGGAAGGGGAGAAAATGTTTCCAAGACACTCGCAAATCAAATTTTACTGCCAAGTGTCTCAATGCTTTTGTCGCTCATTGTGCATATTGTGTCAAAACTACAAAGTACCTCTGCATTTTTCATGGCTTTGATCAGAGTTTGTACAGTCTCCTGATATGATCCACCAGCCTAGAAAAATAAATTACACAGTGATGTAAATATTACCACACCTTCTTACGACAACTTTGTTCAACAATATGTTTGAAAGGAGAGATGAATTTTTCACTCGTTTGCCTCACGATGGAGTCACTTTAAGATGTAGATCGCAACATTTTGACTGCTATACTGCTAGTCTTCATCAGGCAATGAGGTCAATTGTTGCGTGTCACTATTTGTAGCACCTTGGTTCGCTGCTATTGGTACATTTCGATCCTCATTATTACTCTGACTTCGTGGCGCTGTTCCCTCATAGGTCCGCATTCTAACTGACCGGCTGTTGTGCTTTCTGATTGTAGGCATCATTGCTTCAGGAATTTTGATTCCACTATCTCTGTTGATGTTATTTGGGTGAAGTCTTATATGGATAGCTTCCTTGACCATTTGTGTGTACCAGTGAGGGTCATGATCAATAAACTTGACTTTGTCCCGGATGGGTAAATGCCCCGTCTCGTTGGCATGTTCTGAGATTGTGGTGGCTTGAGTACGAGCAAGCCATATGTCTTTGTTGCAAGGAATCAACAACAACACTGTCTTGTTTTGTTGGTTCAAGGGTGTCTTTAGGTCGCACTAAGTAGGACCTAAGAGTTGTGTCAGAGATCTCAACAATTGGTCAATTGTTGCGTGTCGCAACAATTGACCTCATCGCCTGATGAAGACTAACAGTTTAGCACTCGAAACGTGAAACATTAAAGTGACTCCATTGTGAGACAAATGAGTGAAAAGTTCAACTATCCTATCTTACCCCACGATTAATAATTTACACATCTTTAATACATTTGAACTTATCAAAGGCATCATGTAGACCAACTCATTAATGCAGCAGCCACACATGATGGCAGTTAATCAGTGATTTAATAGATCCCCTTTACGCATACAAGAAAGTTCTTGGAAACAGTTTAGTAGTGGCAGGCAATTAGGTAGTAATCGTTTTATAATTATTGTTTCCTTTTCATTTCAAAGATGTCAAGAATGCTTTGACTTTTACCTTTTACTTGGGGAGCAAGGATGTTGTAGTAGTAAGACCCCTTGCCTCCCACCAGTGCGACCTGGGATTAAATCATGCTCTTAAGTGGGTTGAAGTTTATCGAAGGTTCTAACCTTGCTGTTCGGAGGGGATTTTCTCTGGGTTCTCCAATTCTACTCCATTTACAGAAAGCAACACTCCACATTCTAAAATTTGATCTTGAAAGCCTTTCCATGCAATGTGCCACTCCCAAATCCCATTTAGTTATAATTATAATTTATCAAATTTACTTGTATGCCAAACAGTTTAATTTTCTAGTAAGTGCTTGTGAGGTTCAAAACACAAAGGATCAGTTTATATCTTTTGAGACTCTTGTTGTACCTGCCACCCCCTCCCCCCCTTAAAAAAATTCAAGACATATGCACTGGCCCATGGAATTTACCACTTGAGATATTTTCATATTTACATTTGCATTTGAAAAGGCTGCCCGCACTAGACTCAGTTGCAAGATAGTTCCAGTCCTATATTGAGAATACTAGTATGGCCTATTTTATTATTACCATTCTTCCCAGCCTGTCATAAATGGCACCTATGCAAGTCACTGCAGTTCTACAAAAAAATTAAATCACTATATAAATATGATAGCATTCAACAAATTGAACAACCATACATGTCCTTACATGTCCTTCATAACACAGATGTTGTCAACACCACACAAGACAACATACATTTATATAGTGATTAAATGTAGTTCCTTATATTACTACTAATCCAAACGTTTGCACTTTGTTTAATCTTATTAGTCTAGGTACAGTTGAACCTCTAATATATAGATTTAGCAAAGCCTAAAAGTGGAGCTCCTCATTACAACAATTAACCATAAATGAAAAAAGGATTTTCCCCCTGGATCAGAAACTCAAAAAATGATCAATTGTGAGCATGTGATTGTTCAGTGTGTGATGTCACTACTTTTTACATTTTAACAAACCATACTAAATGAGTATACCCAAGATTGTAGAAATTACGTACGCAACATATCAACGATAATTGTGCAAGGAATATGTCGGATGAAAAGTCAACAACGTGTCAGGGTTTAACTTGCGTTAAAATTTTGCCTTTGCATGTACTCCCTCCCTCTCCCCCAGAGTAATAACCTGGCTTGAGCCCGCAATCCAATCAAAAACCCAGTACCTGGTCAGCGCTCAACTTAAAAAAACACGTAACCTCGATGAGCTCTTGACCTGAGCCCGTGATATGGTCACGTGATACTGGTCAGTGGATATCTTGTTTTGACAGCTGTCAATTAATCATAACATGGATGTGCAATATCAAACATGTACTTATGGTAATGGTGCTACTCTCTTATTTTTCATGGAATGGGGCTTGGTGTACGGAGGTACAGACGGACGGACGTATGGACATGGGTTACCAAATTTTAGATAAGAATCCATCCATTTCGCTAGTACAACGGTTTAATTACCTCAGCTCAGAACAGTTTGCATGTACACAGAATGATAGAAAAGCGAAATGAATGGAAATACAACAAACATAGCCTGACTAGTGCCAGGTCCCTAACTTGAGTACACTAGTGCCAGGCAGGCCTGACTGATTACGTTCTATCTCCCCCTAAGTCTTTAGTGACAATGTATAAACTGGGGCAGTTAAGACTGATGTAATAAAAACAGAACGGAACAAGTGTCAATGAGTTTGTTAAATTGTTCACAGTTCTAGAAGGCCTTTTTTGTTGTGGTCCCTAAGGGGGGCTCCTTTGTTCGGGGCTTGGTTGCAGGAGGGATTGTAGGGGGTGCCGCTGTCAGCTGATGGTTGAGTGGTCAAGATTGGTGGTAACTGAGTGCTGTCTTGTGTGGGATGGAAGTGCATTGCTCCAGGTGTAGGGGATTCTGGTGCTACTGGTCCCGGTGAAGACTTCGCAGGTGGCTACCCAGTTGAGGCTGGTAGTAGAGGAGTTATTGGGTTGCATAGGGAGGGCGGCTCGGGGAGATACCGAAGGTCATCATCAATAGTGTGTTGAGGAAGCTGTTCCTGTACGGGAATATATTTCCTCAAGAATTAACGGTTGCGGATGGTGAGTCGGCCCAAGCCATCAACCTGTACTACATACTGGTCAAACTGGCAGATCTCCATGATGAGGCCCGTCTTATTTGATGGGATGTGGACCAGTTTGGTTCTGGATGCGCACAAGGTCACCAACTACCAGGGGTGGGAGTCTCTTGGTGTGTTCCGTCAACCTCTCTGTGGCTTTCATGTGTCTGATAGGGCCTGCTCCCTGTTGGCAAGGGTGTCACTCCAGGTTGGATGTGGTTTGTAGCGGCCAGGCAATATGGGTATCAAGTCCTTGATTGGTCGCCCAAATATGCACTGTGCTGGAGACAGTTTTGTGTTGGGGTCAGGGGTGTTTTGATATTGGAGTATGGCACATTGTAGGGAGTCTGTGTCAAGAATGCCATGGGCATCGGTGTTGTCGGTAATGAGGCATTTCATGATCTTCACACCAACTTCTGTGTGGAGGTTTGAGTGTGGGAAGGCTACTGATGAGAGGCGGTTGTGTACACCCCACTCTTTCAAGAATTGACGTGTGGTAGTCACAGTGAATTCTGGGCCACCATCTGTGGCACACTCATCAGGGATGCCAAATGTTCTGAATGTGTGGTGGAGGCAGTCAATAAGGCCCTTGGATCCCTCTTGCACTCGTTCGATGATGGGCCAGTTGGAGTAGCGGTCCACAATAACGAGGTAGTTCATTCACCTTGTAGTGAAAAAAGTCGGCACATATGGACTGGAAGGGATATGCTGCTGAGGTGAGGGGGTAGGGCGGAGCACTGGATTGTGAAAGGGCCATGCGGTTGCAGTGGCTGCAGTTCTCCTGCAAGGCTCTGATGGCTGCAGTGATTCCTGGCCAGAATACTGTTGCTTCAGAACGGGCAGTCATTGAGGTCACCCCTTGGTGGGCCGAATAAAGAACATTTAGGATATGTTGTCGCAGTGATGGGGGTATGACCATGTGGTCCTTGTAAAGGATAACACCATCAATGATGTAGAGGTGTTCTTGAAATGGGTGGTACACTTGGAGGGCCTGTGGGAGCTCATGTCAGAATCTGGGGAAGCCAGACTCAATGAAGGAGATCAGCTGGGTCACATCCTTGTCACTTATGGTTGCCAGTTGGACTCTGTCCCATGTGATAACCATGGCATGCAGTGTTGAGGAGGCCAAGGATGAGAGTTGATCATCGAGGTGGGAGGTTGGTGGAGGGTCTGCACAGCAAATGCCAGTCATGAAGGAGGGGCTAGGAGAGGGTGGGTCATCCGAAGTGCCTGTACATGTCACATCATCAGGTAAGATCATCGTATCTGCTGGGTCAGTGGGGTGGCAAGAGATAGCATCAGCAGCCTTATGTCGCATTCCAGGAATGTGAATCATACAGAATCTGTAATGTAGGGTCTTCCCTTTAAGGTTGCAGAGGCGAGCATTGGAAATTTCATCAACGGTACAATCACCAAATATCTTGAGCAAAGGCTTGTGGTCTACCGCAATGATTAGGTCTCTGCACCCAAGGACAAAGAATCAGGCTTTGTCAAGGACATCGGCCACTGCAAGAGCCTTTCCCTCTACAGGGACGTATTTTGCTTCAGCAGCATGGGTGAAACAGCCTCCAACGAGGGTTATCTTCCAACCTGTGCGACAACAAAATGGCAAAGCCAGTACCCTATGCCATCTTTGGACCAGTCGGTAGCCAGGCAAGTTGGTTTGGATTTATCAAAGATGCGGACACCCTCTTCAATATCTCTGATGATGGTAGCTTTGGATTCCTCAAAGAGCTCATTGTTCCAGTAGAAGGATGTGCCCGGCTCAAAAAGCTGCGGAAGGGCAGCATGCGCTTGGTGGCAGCAAAGGCATACAAGACTTGATTGAGGAGGCCAAACCAGGATCTAACATCAGTGATGTTTGTTGGGGTTGGGAAATCATGGATGGCATCAAGGTACTTCTTTCAGGGTCGAACATTTTGAGGGGTAATTTCAAATCCTGCAAAGTCAACAGTGTCAGCTCCAAAGACGAACTTGTCCGGGTTGAGAACGATGCTGTGTTGACCACATAAATCAAGCCCATCCACTGCTTGATGGAAGCTCTTGGTGAGGTTACCTGACCAAAGGAGTGTTTCATCAATGCACTTTGTTTTGTTGGGGACATGAGAGACAATCTCATCAAAACGTCGGGAATAGCCATTGCCAGATACTATGTAGCCTTGCGGTGCAGTTTTGTACCAATATCTCCCTCAAGGAGTGATGAAGGTGGTAAGGGGGCAGTCATCTGGGTGCAGGGGGACACTGTGGTATCCATTCCAGCAGTCAGACTGTTTTCTTTGTATTGCTGGGTACAGACCGTGCTTGGTGGAAAGGGCTCTGTGTGTGGTAGGTTTCACGTGTAGCATGGCAGCTGAGTGCCTGAAAGTCTGCTGTGCGGCAGGGTTGACCATTCTTTTTGGCATAGATGACCATGGGGTGACAACATGTGACAGCCTTGCCTACTTGGACTGGTTTGAGGACACTTAGTGCAATGCCCTGGTCTAGGCCGGCCTTGACACTTTCCTGCCAGTGGAGTGGAACCAGGACTGGGGTGTGGTGGGCCACTGGCTCTGCAGTGGGGTCAACCATAAGCCTCCTGGTGGCACCCTTCATCAATGGTAGTGGTTGGTGCTCACAGGTATTGAAAGTGCTGGATTTGTAGTAATTCAGGAGCCATTGCTGTAGGTGCTGTTGGTTACCCTCAGTGGCAGGAAAAGGCAGCTGCGTGGGTTTTGGTGGTAGTGGTGGTTGGCGGCATGGGCAATCACATGGAGGGCTGACTGCGCTGTCGGGTGTGTGTGGCTGTGTGGCTTAGTGGCTGGTGAGGTTCTCTTTTCCTTAGGTGCCAATTTGGGCTCTATCATGGTTGTAGAGTGGAGGGCTTCACCCAGGGTGGGGAAGTTTGGGGAGATCATGCCTAGAGCTGTGCAAGTCTCCTGGCTCAGGAACAGTTTGTCGGCATCACTAGTGAGGTACACAATTTGCCGGGATTCGGAGGGTGTCCAGACTTAGAGCGGCCGGAGAACCGTAAGATGACTGCCCCAGGATTTTGATGCCATGGTTGTTGGCTGCATGCATACACATGGTAACTGGCATCAGCAAAGTGTCAAGGCCGGCCTAGACCAGGACATTGCACTAAGTGTCCTCAAACCAGTCCAAGTAACAGTAGCATTACTTTTAATATTTTCATTGAAATTGTAATTTTTTCTTTAGCAAGAATGAGTGCAAATAAAGATTGATTATTATCAGATCATCCTCGCATAAGCCGAGGTGGCCGATTACCGTCATACTTGCCAAGCAGCTCTGACAGGCCATGTCAGCCATTGCAGTGATTTTGGTCATTACCGGCTTGGATGTGATCGCTTTGAATTCCAGGGCTGCATAATCATTTGGGTAGACTGAGTTTGGGATGGCTGTTGAACCCAGCAGTCACTGAGGTGGTGGTAAAGGTGGTAACCTAATGAGATGGCATTCTCCCTAGGATTGCAGCTGAGGCTGGTGGCTGTACAGAGGGCATCGAAGATGGCGCCTTCAACCTCACTGGTGGCACTTTTTGAGGGGTCACTGTGCTAGGTCGTTGCTCTTCCTTTGCTGTGACAGACAGCCTCATAATGGTTCGCCCATTTGCAGTGTGTACATGTTGTGCCATAGGTAGGACACTCACTCTTTCTAACCCTGGAGGGGCATTCTTCCCATGGCCATGTTTGCCGCAACAATTACATGAGCCAGGTTTCGATTGATCCTTGATTTCATCCTGCTTAGTGCAGCGGTATTGACTGCAGGCAGCGTCTAATCTCTGTGATTGTTGGAGATGCCCTGCCAACCGTTTCCCGGCCTCCTTTGCTTCAACAAATTGTAACACCGTCTCCAGGGACATGTCTTGGTTTTTGTCTCCAAGTAGGTCTAGCTGGATTTTGCTGTCAGCGAGGCCACGTATCAACACATCATGGAGAACGTTCTGGGTATAGTTTACTTTGCCATTGCAGCTTGGGCACATGGTGGAGAATTTGCAAACACCAGCCCGACCACGCAAGCAGGTGCCAAACTACTTATGAGCTCATCTCGGTCCTGGCGCATCTGGTGGAGTTGTTCTCAAGCTACCACAGTGTTCTCTTCTCTCATGGTGAGTTTCTCAATGGCGGCTATCACCTCAGCAATGGGTTTGTCGGCCAGCGAACTGCCGGCATTGCGAGAAAGGTCCTTTCGTAATCGTTCATCGCAGCACTTTAGCAGCTGCATGACTCCATTCTTCCCAGTGACATTGGTTGCTTCTACATAATCATTCCAGCGTGTGAGGAAGTAAGACCATTCTTCACTTGACCCTGCGGCAAAGACTGTTGGGCCCTGGACCTTTTCTGCTTTTGCCATGGTGGCAGGATGTCGTGCAGCAGCGGCCGTGGTGTGAGTGCAACTCGAATGGACGGAGATTAGAACAGCGGTGAGGGCGTCCTCAACGTCAGCCATTTTGTACTCACAATCGGGAAATGGGCATCTATGCTTTGGCATTGTTGTTGTCCAGGAGTGGGTCCGTGGAAGTTGAGAGACACTGCATGTTGTGAAGGCCAGATGGTGGCCAGTTTATTGTCTTTCGCGAACAATGAAACTCGACTTCTTGTCGCTGAGGTTCCCGCCACTTTCTCTGTAGACTTATTTTTGCTTTTCTATCATAGATAAGAGTCCATCCATTTCGCTAGTACAACAGTTTAATTACCTCAGCTCAGAACAGTTTGCATGTATGCAGAATGATAGAAAAGCGAAATGAAACAAAATACAACAAATGTGGCCTGACTAGTGCCAGGTCCCTAACTTGAGCACACTAGCACCAGGAACGGCCTGACTGCTTATGCTCTAAATTTTCTAAGGTATGGGGCTCCATTCGTGCACCTTCAGCATGCAGGAGCTCTGCTATTACATAGCCAACCCTTTATCAAGTCCTGAAATTATTGTCAGTAATATGCTGCAAATAAAACCCTTATTAACTGGCCACCTCTATTCAGTGGCCATGGCCACCTTTTGGTCATCCTGATGAGGGTTCTTTTGTTGCCTTTACCCCACAATGGTATAAGTACACATTACCAGGTGGAAAAAGAGTAAAATTAAACAGTATAGTCTGTCATGATAAGGCTTAACATATGCATGTACCATATTGCCTGTTTGAAAGCCCCATTGTCAAAGTGTTCTTGGCATATCCAAGAAAATGTTGTACTACAAAAATTTATAGATGACTCATTGAGAAGGGAACATTATACAATTTCATTGTCATCTTTATTCATCATAGATATCATAGTATCATTTTCAATTTACCATTAAAAAGTTGCATGTTTTAAGCAGATGCTTTTGGCTAATTAATGCTTCAAGTGTTATGTTGAAAGGTGCAGCATGGTTCAAGCCCGCATGGAATCCAAGTGAAATTAAGGATAATTTAGTAATCAGGACTGTCATTCAGGACCATGACCAGTAACACCTCTCAAGGCTGAGTATGCTTGATGTTTCCTTGATGCTAAGGTGAACCTGCCTGTTGTTGCTGGAATCCACCCACAAAGTAGCACGTTTTCTACAGGTGTGGAGAACAAACTCAAAACTCAATGACAATCCTGCTAATATCATGCACATTTTTGGAGGTAACAAAAATTGCCTGAGTCGTGCATTGAGGGGGGCAATCTCTTGAACTTCTGAGAACGCATAAGTGATATTTTTAATCCTAAATTTTATAAAGAATCGTTCAATTACTTGTCTATCACATAGACATGGAAGCCAAACTGGTTTTATTAGCAATAGAAAAGTAAACTAAGCAGTATTCAGCAAGTGTCAATGAACTCTAAAAACCCACAAATCAGCTCATTATCACACTTCATTTCTGCACAACAACACCACGACAATCAAACCACATTTGCTGAAAAACCTTAAACATACATAAAATATTGACTTTTAGGCAAAGTTAAGCCTCTGTAATGAATGTTTTTAAGACATTTAGAAGTTCTTCAGTCAGACCTCAATGACGATGCACTGACTTGTATGAACCACAGTTGGTTCTGCTAAGGCTTGGTGAGCTTTTATTGCACTGACTTATCTCCAGTAACAATGCAGCTGGGAGCATATCAAGCTGTGTTGAAATGTGTACGACATTAGTGGATAGAGATGACTCAAGACACCTGCTGGATGTAGAATTATTCTTGAAATCATCTGTTGTTATCATTTCTCGCCTGAGCCATAGTCACCAAGTCCTTGGACCGATTTTCTTCAGTGTATTGGAAATTTTAGCTTTTTCAGCAAAAATGGTATTCCTTGGTTGGCAATCTCCTTTCAGGACAGACATCTTCAACTGGCGAGTTCTCCATCATTTTCATCACTGCAGTGTCAATGGTATTTTTGCCCCTTGTGTTTTCTTGTACCACATGCCAAAAACCATCCATTGATTACAGAACTGATTGCAGAAAAGAAGAATGGACTGTTCACTGCAATTTCAGTTCCATTGGTTTTCCACTTTTCCACTTCAAAAAAAATGGTCTTCCAGTGCTTTGTGTTGTTTAGTGAATTACATTTTCTCTCATTCCCATAGTTCTTCAATAAATTCATCATCAACTTTCTCAAAACAAGAAACCACCGCAGCAATTTTCTTTACCATTGCCAAGTGACCAGAGAGCCATGCAATTTTGCCCTTGATAGTTTAAGAAATTAAGAGCAAATGTCTTCTGTCTCAGCCAATAAAAATTAATTACTTTTGCATTTTATGTTAATATTGTTATAACTGAAATTAAATCTGAAACAACTGAAGTACTTGTGACTTCTGAAGAACTTACAGTTTGACTGGAAGGTAAGACTGTGACTCATCCTTGGACCTAATGATATCACTGCACTTGTTGACTGTTTCATATAATGTCCTGGTGCTTCCAATACTGTACAGCAGTGCATAACATTTTGCAAGCAGCTGCCTTGTTGGTGGACCAAGGATTTCAGTTAAATGTTTTGAAAGTTGTTCCTCAAGTTTCTCTTGGGAGTTCTTAACTTCTGTCTGAGAAACAAAAACCAACTCAGAAAAATGCACTACAAGTTAGCTAAATGTATTTTCTTTGAGTTTTGATTGGTTTTCTAGACTGCTTACCTATCTTGTAATTAGCCCCTCAGGAGGGGTAATGTCATATATACTATATGGGTATGTGCCCTTGTGAAGGATATGGTTTTCAGGCAGTTAAGTCTTGGATAGAGTGTAGAATTCAGACAGTTTTGGACAAAAATGAGGTATAATTTAATGGAAAAGTGCCCAATGTTATATTGTAATAAATCATTTAGTCTAGTACAGGGGTCTTTACCAGGGATTCTAAGAAAGAAATCAAAACTAGAAAGTGACTTTGTAAGGTTTAGTTAGTGTATTTTTTACTACAAAAGTGATAGTTTCTGCGTGGAAAATAGCTAATGTGGGATAGGGTAGGAGTTTCTTTTGGTGCCTAGTCTAGAATAGGTCCAGCTAACCATGGCCTAGTACAGGGTAAGGGTTTCAGTGTCCCAGTGGCACATCCCTACCCAATGATTTACAGAGCAGCCCCCGCCCCCTTGGGAGAGGGGATTAGCCAGAGTGATTACTTTGGTTTTGGTTTCACTTCACTCAATTGAAAACCACTCTAACATCAACGATAAATCTCCTGGAAAGTAATAAAAATAGAACTATATAGTAGTTGTGTCGCATGGATTTAGTTTTGTACTTTCTTTTTTTTTAGTATAAACAGGCAATAGTTGCTATTTGGCACGAAAATATGCTACGATATTTGTCCGCGGACATTACCTGTTCCAAGAAGCCAACAGTTTTCCAAGAGCATAGCTTGAGGAAAACTGTGAGCTTCAAGGAACAGATAATGTCCAAGGACAAATATCTGAGCATATTTTCCCACCAAATGGAGGCTATTGTGTTTGTTATCCTTCAAATCTTTTCTGCAACACATGCAATTTTGAAAATTGGGGAATATTCTCGGATATTCCCCAGTTTTAGCTAGGGAATATTTGGTCATGTGATGTGTTTAGACCAATTGCATGTGAGCGAAAACATTTCATGGATTATAATCAGTGTTGTCTGATCTTACATAATGTTTTTTGGATATAAGAACACCACAAACTGGCTAGAGGTAAACTGGGAAATGATATCATTAATATCCTTACTAGTAAGATAGGGGGCGCTTTCCATTATACCAAAGATTCCAGAAATTTTGGTCAGAATTCAAATGGAAATGTCCGTTTCGGTTTCTTCCGACCGGAATATTTGGAATCACCTCTGGAGGTGGTCTACTTATTTTGGTCGGAACATTCCGGCTGAAATTCGCTGTTCCATTTTTGACAAACCGGTTCTTTGCCCTATTAGGGAATTCGGTAAAGGAATAAAAAAATGGCAAGAGCCATTCCTTTTGGTAGGCCCAGTTTAATCGGAAAATGTCGTTCCATTTTCCTCGGGTATTCCCACTGATCTCTGACCGGTCAGTTTGGCACCCAAAACACCCAGGGAAAATACTCCACTTGTGTCACAGTGAAGCTCCTTATGAACTTCACAAGCAGTGTATTTTCCAGTAAAAAACTCTTCTCTATATAATAATAGGAAGTACACTGTCAAAATGGAACTGAAACCATTTCTGAACTACTGAAATGCAGGTAGTTTCGTGTTATTACTCCCTGGCCATCAAAAGCCATTTGGAAAAAGACAAATTAACTCTTTAACCTGGTAAAGTTACGACAATGCACAGTTCCAATTTCACATGCCTCCTAAAAAAGCCCACCAAATAGCAGAATTAAGCTCAAATTTTCTTCTGAGAGCCTCACCTTTTTGACAGCGGTAATGTTATCTTCGAGATTCCTAAGCCATTCATAGATAAATATGGCTTTTTGATTTGTTGGCGTTCGGCCGTACTCCTCTTCATTGTAAACCAGTGTAGGTGAATCGAAATCCATATCGAAAACAGTCCCACAATTTTTATATTTACTTCAAACCAGCGAAAAAAACAGCTTTGTAGTCCGCCATCTTGGCCTTGGCAAACAGCTTCTGCAAACGGATGTTGTGTTTAATCGCGGGCTCAGATGAATACGGCAGCGCACTCCAGTCGACACGTCCACGATGTCGTCCACGATTAGTCGGCATTGGTTACGGGTGTCACGAAAACTCAGACCCCGAAAACTCAGACCTCAGCTCGACCTCAGACCCCGAAAACCCAGACCCCGTAAACTCAGACATTGATATTCTGCTCCCGCAGTCCCGCAATCGATAAATATTTGCATAAGGAAACACGGGACCGCGGGACTGCGGAAGCACTAGGTTTATACCCATTTAATATTCTTTTTTTATATACTTTAATGATTAATGTCATGACTGCAGGACTACTGGAGCAGGAGATTAATGCCACGCAATCGTGGCCGGGTATTCTGAAGTTGGACAACATAATAGCGACTCTGTCTTTCTAATTCTTCGACAAAAAATTCGCCAGCGAATGTCTCACCAAAGTCTCGGGTGATATTTTAAACCTTGTTAGTTTTTCACCGTTTTATCGACGCGACAGCGATAAACCGGAGAACATAAACATCTCACTCCTTTCGGGCATGGTAGACTACGAGTAGTCCCACTTTCGCTTAGTCCGTCGTGCGTGACGAGAAAGAAAACCGCGAGAAAAAAATGGCCGCGCGAAATCCTGGGGGCGAGGAGCGCCTCCAGGATTTCGCGCGCCCATTTTTTTCTCGCGGTTTTCTTTCACGTCACGCACGACGGACTAAGCGAAAGAGGGACTACTCGTAGTCTACGGGCATGGCTGTTGCCTATGAACATTGCGTGACCATAAAACATTTCAGGTGAAATCTTTTTTTTGTTTTAATTTCGAGGGGTCTGAGTTTTCGTGACACCCCATTGGACACGGCATACTTGTAAACAACAACTGGATGAGGTTTTTGTGATATTCAGAATAATCAAGGTCGAGGTAGAAGTTTTCGGCTGAGGCTGATAACACTTTTTGAGACCTTGATTATTCTGGATATCACAAAAACCGAATCTAATAATTGTTTTATAATACAATGAATGAAAAAACAAATGGCAGTCATGTTTTTACTTCTTCTCTGAAGGCAAGCAACACAAAGCGCGCGAACTTAACATGATTACCCTTCGAAATCATGCACCATGGTCATGACGTGATTACCCGTGACCTTCAGTGTCCTTGACATGATTATTGTATAATCTGCAGCTAGATGACGTCACAGGCACTGATTTCGAAAATTCACTGTATGCTTTCAGCCAATCAGAAAAGAGATAGTGAGTTCACGTATAATAGTTGACCTTATACTCTAATCACCCTGAAACGATTATAAAATATTTTGTAACTAATCTTAATAAACTCGAACACAGCATCAGGGGCGGGCATCTCGTTTATTGATGCTCACTTTCGAAAATAAAGAAAGAGAACAAAGAAAACTAAGTATGCAAACTTCTCGACACTGAGAGTAAAGATGCTAAATTATCCTTAATATAGCCGTCCTTGGCTCGATCAGTCTTTCATCTGCCATGATTTTTGAAGAGTCGGTCACTGACGCCTGCGTTAGCGGCCGCAGAAGCACCTCCTGCTCTTAGACTGTGTAAACCAAACAAGTGTTTAGGAGGATACCCTAATTCCGCAAACGCTGGTAAAACTATTTCCATAGTTCTGGTATAACTCGTACCCGTGGAACGCAAACTATAAGAAGAAGTAACTTTATGAAAATGCAAGGAGCGAAAAAACGGTAAAGACGAAGACAAGTCTAAATTAGCGCTACGGACGTATCTGTTAAGCATGTGAAAAGGGCAAGAAACAGAGTCTGATTTTCTTAAGAAAACATGGGCGCCATCCCTATAAACATCTGTTTTGCTCTTAAATACATAAATCCTAACAAATGTATCGCAAAAACTAACGTCACAACAACGAAGGCTAGCTAACTCGTTGTAAAGGAAAAGACCGAATAGGCAGTCACGCAAATTGCAGCTAAGCGAAGATCAGAAATATTAGCATTGGGACCCGCAAACCACTGAACCAGTTACATATACTCAAAATCATTTCACGAGTAACAAGTTCTTTCTTGAGAACAGGTTTTGCAAGTTCCCTTTTTGCAGCCTCAAGCACGTTCCTTACCAATTTTGAATCATAAGGACTTGGAAAGCCATACAAATTGTGCCATAACAGGCAGACTCAAGCGTGGAGTAGGGGTAACTCTGCTGTAGCAAAACCTCCAAGTAAAGGGCAAGCAAACGACTTCTTCAAGGCAAGAAGACCATTCTCTAAATTTTTGAAAGGCTCTTGAATAACGCTCCGTTGTTGACGAGGCCTTTGTTTTAACGGCACGCAAGGGAAGACCTTCCGCTAACTTTCGAAGCTCTGGATCTCTTAAGTGGGCAACTTTTGAGGCAAACGCATATCCACCTTGTAAACAAGGGAAGTAACAACAAGAAATGTGAGAACAAATAGAAGTAATGCAAATGCAACGCAACCAAAAACATAAGGAGGGCCCAGTGACCTAAATGGTACATTCAGCACAACTAGAAACGGGCAGTCCCGCACAAAGACAACAATGGCCCAACGGCCTAGAAAAGTTTAGTCACCCATGGCCAACACATGGTGAACGGGCAGTCCCTCATAAAACATGGCCAAGTGGCCGCGCGACATGATGTCTCATAAACAGATTCTACTG